ATGATTCCAAAGGATATAAAGATGACAAAAAAGACGAAGACTGTGATGATGACGAAAAAGACTATAAAGGACATGGTCATGCCGACAAACACGATGGACATGGTCATGCCGACAAACATGATGATGACGTAAAAGTCTATAAAGGACATGGTCATGGTTATGGTGACAAAAAAGATGATAAACATTACAAACGCGGTGAAAAAGACGATGAAAAAGACGATAAAGAAGACGAAGATTGTGATGACGATGGAAAAGACTATGACGACAAACATGATGGACATGGTGACAAAAAAGGTGATAAACATCACAAACGCGGTGAAAAATACGATGAAAAAGACGAAGAAGACGAAGATTGTGATGACGATGACGACAAACACGATGGACATGGATATGGTGACAAAAAAGATGGTAAACATCACAAACGCGGTGAAAAATACGATGAAAAAGACGATGAAGAAGACGAAGATTGTGATGATGATGTAAAAGACTATAAGGGATATGATCATGACGACAAACACGATGGACATGGATATGGTGACAAAAAAGATGGTAAACATCACAAACGCGGTGAAAAATACGATGAAAAAGACGATGAAGAAGACGAAGATTGTGATGATGATGTAAAAGACTATAAGGGATATGGTCATGACGACAAACACGATGGACATGGTGACAAAAAAGGTGATAAACATCACAAACGCGGTGAAAAAGACGATGAAAAAGACGAAGATTGTGATGACGATGAAAAAGACTATAAGGGATATGGTCATGACGACAAACACGATAAAGGATATGGTAATGAATGGTAAAAAACAAAAATCGTGGTGAAAGAGGGTATGGCTTGTCCCATGGCGAATAAGTGGTAGAACATTGTTATGCCGTTAAGACATAAAATTTTATCCATGTGTCCTAAAAATCAATCTCACTGTGATGGATATAATTGTAAATTATTTAAAGGATCTCTATATAATATTCTATTTTTATTATTTACTGTATTGTTTTTAAGTTTTAAAAAACAACGCAAAAACCAAATCTTTGTTAAATAAATTTTTGCTAAATAATTGTTAATAAATTTTTAAATTTTGTTAAAAACAATTTTTTTTTAAAGAAATTTTTAAATTTTCTTCTTTTTCATGAATATACATACATGTTCAAAATATAATAATTCTGATTCGGTAAATCTGGATATTCAAGTTTTTTAATATTGTGAGAAGGTATCGCCAATATAGCTCATCTATACAAGTCTAGCATCATTGCTTTAAAAAAAATTTCGCTCTGTTTGAACTAGGGTCTTATGTAAGGTTAGGGTTAGAAAACTAGAATCATATCGATATGTGAAAAAATAAAATATTAAACGATGATTTTCTGCGGTGATATTCCGTTCGCTATAGATCAAGTTACCGAAATGGAATTGGAGTTGTAAAAGATTTACAAAATGCCAATTATAGGTATCAAAAGTAATAAATTACTTTTTATCATTTAACGTAACTTTCATATAATTCAATGAATCTGAATGTTAAATCATTAATTAGAGAAAGAATCTATTATTATCAAGTAACTTTATTGGATATAAGTATCTGATAATATATTTAAATTAATTTATTACTAATAAGATATAAAACTTACAAATATCAAATCACCTAAATTTAAGCTAAAATCAATCATTAGGGAATTTCAATTTTTTCACTACCAATCATCTTTGTCAACCTTTCCGTGATTTCGTAAGTATTAATTGGATTACTTTTACATATGTGGCTCGAATGATCGTACTTAACCAATGATTCTTTCCTTTATCTGCTTCGTCAAACTGTTTTCGCTCTGGATCATAAGAGAAATGGTACCACTTATCTATTTCTCATAAATAAACCAATCAACACCTAGTCAACAAAGCACTCGGGTTTCCCAGAAGTAAATTCAGGCTGCAATCCTATGCAAATCGTTACTGCAAGTTCTTTGTCAAATTTGCAACTATCGTATGGTCTTCTCCCATTCGCTATTTCCGCCATAAGCACCCCCAAAGCTGTAGATGTTTCAAAGCTTAGGTAAATAATTCTACCCGCAAGACCTCAGTGCGACGTAAGGCAAGACACCATACACAATACCGGAATGTTTTCATTAAATATTTTTCGAAATCCGAAATCATCGAAACAGGATCACACACCCGCTTATTTTCTAAGCAAAATATTACCACCATGTAAATCTAAATGAATAATTCCCAACCCATGAATCAGATGTAATTCGTACGAAATGTCTAAGAAAATGCAATCTAGAACCCAAAGTACTATATCTATTCTTTTCTAAATATTTATAAAGATACTCTTTGTCAGCATATTGCAACACCATCATATATTCACCTTCATTGCACGTTAAACCATATACTCTAAGCGTATCTTTATAACGCGCGAAGTTGAAGCTTACATAATTG